GGCTGGCAAACTTGATAGTTTGCCCATTCAACCTAGACGGAAATTTTCGTCTAGGTTGCCTCAACCTAGACGGAAAATCCGTTTTTTCGTCTAGGTTGACATTTCCGTCTAGATTGACAAACTAGATGGAAATTTCCGTCTAGTTTGATTCAACCTAGACGGAACAAACTAGACGGAATTAGTTCCGTCTAGTTTGACTCAAGCTAGACGGAAAAAAATTCCGTCTAGTTTGTTCCGTCTAGGTTGCTCGTCTTTCTACTAGTGGAAGTTAACTATAAAAATGCTCATTAACTGTTTGGTTTCTGATGAATTCGATGAAACATGCAAGATTAGTAAAGATATGACCACATTAAGGATTGACGATAGTGGTTGATTGTACAAACCCGTCATGATCGTACGCTCCTCAATCATAATAGAAGTACGTGAACTTATGTGGATCCCATCAGTGTTCGGGGTGCAATCACTTGTAGACGAGACGCTTGTCTCTGTTGCTATTTCTGCAACTGACTACTGCTATTTCTGTCGATACAGTTGCAGCAGCAGCTGCTGCACGAATAGCAGCAGCAACTTGCAAGATTGCAAGTAGATTGTCGATGTTGCTGCACTTGCTACAGTCCAACATTAAAAATAGCTGCTATGGATAGCTACAATTGCAACAACATTACTTGATTTAATGTTACGATTTTTGGATTGCTTACATTTACATACTTTGATATTGCGTGGTAATTTCTTGATGCCAAGATTTATTATTTTATGATTCAACATATGGTCTATATAGGTGACTTTGAAGAAAAATCTACCATATGGTGCAAATTTATGTGTAAGATTAATGAATAACTTGTCGACGGGAACTAAAAAAAAGGTTGCTTTTTATCAAGACAGAGCTTTTAACCTGACTTTTTGTGATATCTTCCTACCAAAATTCGTGATAGAATTATGTGCCCAGTGTACGCTGGATTATTAATCCGAACCACTATAAAATATAGTGTATTCTTGTTTGGTTGCTTTTGAGCTATTTGTATTGCTTAGTATCATTTATCTCTTTTGTTCGCTTTATTCCTCTACATATTCTACTTTAAGGCGAAATATAGTAGGCAATCATATTCACCTCCCTCTAAGCTTGCATCACCGAGCCAACATTATCAAGTTATATTGCATAGACTTATGGATCTGTATCTTTAACTAATGAATAATAATATTTACTTTTTTAAAATCCATATAATGTCTCAAGAAACAGTCACTTCCTAAATTTTTTAATACAAATACGAAGAGAAAAAGAAAATAAATAAAGGGAAACATCATTAGACCTCATTTCCAGCTAGCTCCAGGTTCATTTGCACATGTCAATGTTTAAGTTAATCTTTATTCAGCTGATTGGATTACTATATTATTTTTTAAACTGTGTATTCTATAATTAATAGCGCAAGTCAATTTCTTGTCATTCATTATATCAAAATTTCTGGTTAATAATTAATCTGCCATCAATTACTGCTCATTGGGTGAAAGCATTTATGCGATCAATTGATAATGAAGGGATAAGGATTAGGACCTGTAAGCACTGCTCATTGGGTGAAAGCATTTATGCGATCAATTGATAATGAAGGGATAAGGATTAGGACCTGTAAGCTTTGCCTGTTCAAAGTCATTATAAACGCGATCAATTGATAATGAAGGGATAAGGATTAGGACCTGTAAGCTTTGCCTGTTCAAAGTCATTATAAACATCTTTGACAGATTCCTGTATTGTTTAAGATTATCCAAATTAAATGGCATTTATAAAAGACTTGATGGTCATCTTTGGTTGCATATTCATTTGCCCCATATAAATATAGCTTTCTCTCTCTTACACGCTAATAAGAAAACAGAGAATCAAAATGCGGAGTCTTAAGTCCTTTTTAATTAACAACACCAATAAGCATTTTTCTTCAGAACTCAAAAGCGTTTCCTATAAATAGTACTCAAAACTAACGTTAAGCATTGCAACCACAGCAAGAACTCAAATAAAGTACTGAGATTCATCTGCAAAAGGAAAAGATATGGCAAAAGCTGTAAGTACAACAAATACGTCTCAGCTTTAAATATGTAATTAAGAATGTATACTGCTGGGTTTTTGTGCATAAATTATTATTGTATTTGTAGTGTTTAATTCTCTATCTGCTTCTATAATGCCCCCATAATTTATCAGAGGTGATGATTTATCCTGATTTAAAATTTTAATACAGATCTTAATCTATCAGAGGTTCAGATAATTTTGATCTGTTAAGTAAGCAGATTGGATCCGGATTAGTACACGATATGTGTTCTAGATGGTTCAGATAATTTTGATCTGTTAAGTAAGCAGATTGGATCCGGATTAGTACACGATATGTGTTCTAGATTTGGAAACCATGTAATCCGTTTTTTTCTAGCAGATTGGATCCGGATTAGTACACGATATGTGTTCTAGATTTGGAAACCATGTAATCCGTTTTTTTCTTCATGAATTCCGCCTTGTAAATTTGATTTGAATCAAGGTCTCAGAAGCGATGCAAGTTCATGCCCCTTAAAAGATACCAAAACCTTGAAGTTGAGATGACCAGAATAGAGGGATATAATTTGAGTTTCTTTAGAGAAATGGTTTTTAAAATAAGATAAGAATGCGAAATAACCTTTTAACTTCAATTCATACAAAAGGCACAGTCAAAAAGGTTCTGACCGTAATCAATTGTCTTGATTGAAATATCCAAAATGCCATCAAAAAGCACAAATCATGTCATGTGCCTGACACGTATATTTTTTAAGGACAATTTGGAGATCATTTGAAATTTCGTCATTCAATAGGCCGAACTAGTTGAATTTTATTGAAAACCCTTTTAAAGTGGTTCTGTAATATTGAATTTTAAAATGGTTTTCGTATCAATTTCTTTTAAAGTGGTTCTGTAATATTGAATTTTAAAATGGTTTTTGTATCCATTTCATACCTATTTTAGAGGTGGTTTTCTGTGAAAAGTCACTCATAATTTTGCATTCTAACATAGATCTACATTGAACATATATAGCAATAAACTACAAAATGTGAGTGTGCAATGCAGATGATAATCCTTTACCCAAGGGACTTGGCAGTCAGCTGGGGAGAGGACTCGAGATACTGGGAGTGGATCCAGCTGTGGAACGGAAGCCGTGCACTCAGGCTCAAGGACGTGTGCTGGCTCGAAGTCAAAGGTTCATTCGACATGTCGAGGCTCACATGTGGGGCACGGTATGATGTGTGGTTCGACGTGACGATGGTGGCTCCGGTTGATGGATGGTGGCGGGCTCCGATGAACTTGAGGCTCGATTTCCCCAATGGGTGCTGCACCACTCGCTGCGAGTATCTGAATTCTGTGCCCCAGGATGCGCCCAAGTTGGTTTCTGCCGGGAGCTTTACAGCCTGGAATGGTGGGACACTGAGGTTCTCGATGGCTGAGACGAGGACAAATTTGTGGAAGAAGGGCCTTGTCCTGAAGAAAATTATTGTCCTCCCTCAAGGTTACAGGGTGCAGATTGTGGTAATTAAGTTTATCAAATGCTTTTATGGATTAATAGCTCCTATATACGTTTTAGCTTACAAGTTGAGTTAGACTACTATCAATATCATTCAACATGTGGATATCTATAGAATTAAAATTAAAACTCGGATTCAGAATTCGAAATGCCAATCCTTTGGATGTGGTTAAATCCATTTGATTTTTATCTAGAAAACAAAAATTTGAAGGATTTGAATTCATATATTTTCCCCACATAAAATTTGTAGTTTTCAGATCTTTTATAGAGTTGCCCCATGTAACACTTGTACTTTCCTGTTCGTCAGAGGTGCGGCAGTAACTGTACCATAACCCGGCCATGCACCTCAAGGGATTGCCAGTTCAAAATAGGAGGAAAAGTTGGAGGAATAGGCGGTGGTGGTGGAGGTATCGGTGGTACTAACGGTGGAACTGGAGTTTACCAGTATATCCTCGAACCAGGGGCAATAATCAAAATCACTTAATCGCACATTCCAAGTCTCAAGTAGTATCATCAAAATTAATACTGCCCCATTTGAGTATCGCACTATATAGGAGTTTGTTTGTTGTTCTTTACTTTGCTTGGGTGAAAGTTGTTGTCATGTTGTATTTTTAGCTTTGGGTGATGATCAATGGTTGTGTATTGCTCTACTTCTATTTAATAATGACTAGTACAGTGCATGTACTTTGCACCTGTACCTATTTTCATATTTATGTGTTAGCCCAATGTACACGTTGCGATGATAATTTTTGTATGTATGCAAATGCAAAGTGAAAAGAGATGAAAAGTTGGGTGAATCTCAAAGGTCTTAAGGTTTGATAATAGTATTTTTATTCAGTAACACCAAAGTTAGAACTTAAACCATCTAATACGTCATGTTTTTTTTTTTTTGAGAGAAAGGATGGACTACTGTTAATCATAACAGTAGTCCAGCTAGCTAAATTAACCAAAAATTGGCTGATACATGAAGATACACATTCCCAACCAAAAAGAATGTGCACTTGAGTTCAAACAGAAATTACAAACCAAAAGAAAACCTCTTGTTCCCCCACAGATAGAAGCCAAAACCATGCTCCAGCTCTGCCACTACAGTATAACTCATCTCCAGCATGAATAAGAAAGCTGTCAGCTACTACTACTACCAGATAGTAGACTATCTTAACTAAGAACAGAGTTTTGGCCATCAGAAAACAAAACAAGTTTATAGATCTGAAGAAAGAAATCATTCCAGCTGAATCACTGTGTTCGCAAAGGCGATATAAGATATGAAAACAAGAATAAGAACGCCAATGCAATCACAAACAAAACGATATGATCACGGAGTTCGGTCTAACCACTTGACCTACGTCTCCGCTCCTCACCTCGAGGAGATCTCCACTATCACAACCGGGTTTTCTACGTTCACCCGAACAACGTTTACACCTCACAATACAATCACTATGTAATCACACCTCACACACTAAGTGTTGGTCCTAGCCCGTGTCCTCCTCCTCAAGTGCTCGGTTACAACCTCTCCCTGGGCACGTCAACCGACGCCACTCCTCTTGGATTCGACCCCGTCTCTCACCACACACTTCTCTCGGTGTACAAGTGTATTACAAGTGAATCCTCACAATTAAGCACAATATAAATCAATTGATTGTTCTCTAAACAAGGTGAGAACTCAATTAAGCACAACTCCTAGTCACAAACCCACAACCCAAAATTATACTATGAATGTAAATACAATAAGCTCAAAAGGTTGTGTGTGAACAAAGAGATATAAATCAAAACTAAACTCAATGTAGTTCTAGCTTAATAACAATGATAATCAAATATATAAAAAAGCTAGAAATAGAGTTTAGAAAACTTCTCAATAGATCAAGTGGTAGAGGGAGAATAGTTGGATGCACAAACACCAATAGATGATCTCCTCAAGCTCTTGTGAAATTGATTTCTCAAAAACAAACTCTCAAATGCTTAAAAGCTTTTTAAACAAACTTAAACTAAACATAAACCCTTGTTAAAACTTTCTTAAACTTGTTTTAAAACTCTCATTAGTATATTAAAACTGAGGTATAAGGGGGTATTTATAGCCTCCCAATACCTCAAACAAAAGCCCAAACCAAAAGACCAAAAACCCCTCCAACGGATACAAAAAATAGCCGTTATGGGCATTCTGGGAGCTGGACGGTCGACCGACCTTTTTTTTGGTCGACCGCTCGCACTGTACAAACCTGAAAAAGTTCCAGAGACATTTCCGGTCGACCGGTCCGGTCGACCGGAGTTACTGTAGCAGTGCGCAGCTGTTTTGTAAAATAAATTTAAAATAGTAAATGAACTCCAAAAATTATGAAATTTTGTGAGAATGTTCTAGACATGTAGAATAATATGTCAGATAAAGAATTTCTGAAAAATATTTTCTCAGTTGAGAGAAATAAATATTTGAACACAAATTTAGAGTTTCTGAAAAACTGTTAACATATACGATTTGGTAAAATCAATTGGGCACAGTAAATAAACTCTAAAAATAGTAAAATTTTGAGGGAAGTTTCTAAACATGTATATAAACATGTCAAAGAAAGACTTTCTTGAATATCACTTTTCATTTATGAAAACTCATCTGTTTTGTAAAACATGCACGAACATATGCACGAACAAAAACATGATTTTGTAAATTCCATTAAACATAACAAATCAATTCCAAACTTGATGAAAACTAGATTACCCAAGCTAGATCTTGATCTTCAATAAGCTCTTCTTGGTAATCTCCCAGATGAAGCTTGAACTTGATCTTTAACTTTGAATTGCAAGGCTTCACTCCACAATATCCGCCATCCTCCATTTGATATGATCGTTATGGCACAATCCATCCAACCTCCAACTCGTTGTTTGCCTAGAATAAATACAAAAACACAAACACTAGACAAACAACATTAGAAGTAAATTGTTTGTTAAACATCATCAAAATAAGAAGGCCAACAATCTCCTCCTTTTTGATGATGACAAACAATTTACAAAAAGAATATATGCATGAAAGGTAATGAATATACAAATTATAATTCACATGCATATAAACAAGGAAATGTATACTCACAATATTTCTCCCCCTTTGATAACATCAAAACGGGGACAAAAAAATGAAGAGAGTGAAAGCTACCCCTATCATAAAGCATAGGTGAGTATAACACATAGTATAGGGATTGCTCCCCTATCAAATTGCCATATGGAAAATATGCAATTATGAACATGGCAAACAAATGTGAGCAAGCATAAATGAAACATATGCTAGATATCACTCACATACAAACAAGATAATGAGAACACATATAAATATGTTAAAATAAAAATAGTGTCTCATTAACACAAAAAATATAAAAGCCATATAAAAGAATAGATTTATAAAAACAAAGAACAGGAACATGAGAATCATGCAAAAAGTTTTCAAATGAAAACCAATCAACCAAAAGAAATCATAACTCAAAGTTTATATTCAAAAACAATGTTTGATCAATAAATAGAACTTTCTTTGTATAACTTGATTAAACCATTCATAGAATACATTATAAGACACGAATAGATGATCCATAAGCACAAACACATAAATATCATCATATAAGTGAAATATAATGAATTCAAAGCAACAATTCAAAACAAAATCTTTGATAAAAGAATTTCAAGAGAGGCAACTATATCTAGCTCTTGAGCTAGTAACAACCCATATATTCATTCTAGCATCCGGTAAACATGATTTGTGAATAAACACCAAATAAATCCGGAGGGTTATATAAACATAGTCTTCTCATCAAACAAAAATAATAATCATGAAAACAAAAGATTTTGATACAAGAAAAAATTGTTTTCATAACTAAAATATTTTAAAGATATAATTTTCAAAACCAAGAAAAGAAAAAAGAAAAGCACTAAAGTACTTGGTTTTAAAAATTAAAGATATAATTTTCAAAACCAAGAAAAGAAAAAAGAAAAGCACTAAAGTACTTGGTTTTAAAAATTAAATTTATTTTGGTACCCAAGTATTCTTGGTACCAAAAGATTTAGGGACATGACCCCTATCAATAAAGCTCAAAGCCCTAGGGTTATGAACCCTCTTGGGTATATGTGGTGCACGGGATCAGTCATAGCAATAATCACTCAAATGACCATTCCGATTGCAATATGTACAATGTAAAGGAACCATTTGCTTATGTTGACCATTAAAAGGTGCACATGGAACATTTGCAAATAAGGATAGATTATTGGAGGCTTTTTGCAAATGTGAAACATTATCAAAACAAAACTTTCCTAGGTGGCCATGTTTACCACAAACATTACATTTATAAACATATGGTCTACTAGAAATATTTGGCAAATGAGATTTATTTTTCAAATCAAAACAATATTTGACCAAATGACCATAACGACCACAAAGATCACATGAATACACCTGAGCATGCATATGATGAACTTTATGAGAGTGTGCATGTGCATGTACATGTGATGAAGAAGCCTTATGATGAGCATGCATATGATGAACTTTATGAGAGTGTGCATGTGCATGTACATGTGATGAAGAAGCCTTATGAGATGCACAAGAAACATTAGTCTTGGAGGATTTATGTGCATCATAGCAAAACTTAGCTAAATGGCCTTTACGACAGCAAATAGAACATTTATAAGCTTTGCTATACAAGTGTGCATAGTGTACGAGTTTAGAAGTTGTAGTACGAGACTTTGCACCCAAGTCCATAAGTTTCTTATTATCTACAATGCATGTTTTAAGGGTTGAATCTAAAGATGATATGCGTTCTTTAACATGATCCAACTCATTTTTAGGCATACAAGCATTGGAAGTAGAAGTAGATGAAACATGATCATATTTAAATGAATTAAACTTATCCCTAATAGTTTCTACTTCTATCATGACATCATTATTAGCATGAGTTAAGCTAGCAATAGATGAAGACATGTTATTATTTTCCAAACTTAATAACTCATTGTTTTCTTTCAAAATAGCATTCTTTTTAACAACAATATCAAGTTTGGAAGCTAGCGACTCATGATCGGATTTTAAACTAATATGCTTGCTTTTACAAGTTTGGAAGCTAGCGACTCATGATCGGATTTTAAACTAATATGCTTGCTTTTAAGATCAATAAAATAATTTTGTAATTTTGTATAGGCATGAGATAATATTTCATATGCACAAGCGAGTTTATCAATAGATAAATCATTATCGGAATCGGAATCGCTTACAACACAAGAGTTATCCTCTTGTGGCCGTGTGCATGATGCTCCACATGAACTTGAAGAAGAATCCTCCAAAGCTTATCGGATTGCTTCCAAGTCCCCTTGATGTGCTTCAATAAATTTCCAAAGTTTGTAAGCACTATCAAAATGAACAAATTTGTTAGAAAATGATGAGTCAAAAGCATTAAGCAAAAATTCTAACAAAAGCTTATTCATTGAAAACATTTTCTCATCATGATGGCTCCACTTGGATTTCTCCAACGTGGGCACAATATAAGAGCACAATTAATAACTTCCCATAAGTCGATATTTCTAGATTCAACAAATAGTTTAAATCTAGAAACCCATTGTGCATAGGGAAAACTAATGAATTTAGGAGCAACATTTAATTCATAGCCTAAACGAAATACATTTATATTCATGATATATATATGAAAATATGCAAGCAAGACAAAAGTAATCATAACTAGATTAGCACAAA